CTCAGTGAGATGTCTTGAAAGCTCTAAAGCATTTTCTCTCTGGTAGCTTTCTGACATTTGCTGTATTTCACCACATCCTGAAAATAGATATGTGGCTCCCAGTGTTTTCTCAAGAATAGCATTAACTGTAATTTACAGTTCAAACAGTGTTCCTAAAATATGGTCACATCTGCATATGTCTCAAGGCCTTTGTTTCAGCTTTTAAAAATAGCTCACCAAACTTTGTGAACTATTTTATAGGATGATCAATTATGAACTCGAGCCACTAAAGGATTTCCTAGGTTCAGAGACAACTCACACCGCAGACAGGCTGTTCTCCACTATGAACTCTGGAGTTATGGAAAACAAGCCCTGGGAGTGCGGCTGAAATCCTACATCTAGTCACTCCCTTTCAACGACAAGAATAGAGGTTATACTAATCCTGACCAAGCACTGTGCCAAGTGCTGCCCAATGCCCAGTGAGCTGACGATGACTCTAGCCTTACTTCACACCATGGAGAAAGAAACTGAGCCACTGACTTGCCCACAGGTAGAGACCCAGTGAGTGACAAAGTGTGTCCTCACACCCCGGTCTCTGTGACACAGGATCTGGGCTCTTCACACTCAGCTCCATCTTCCCCAGAACCAGAACCAGTCAATCTGCTCACGCGATCCTGCATTCAGAGAGGGGCCTGAGGAGAATATAAAGACTGTCTTTATGCACACTCGCTTTCCAGCATCCCTAGCCTTTTGGATTGCTCAAGGAGAGAAAGTTGCCAGAAAAACACATACACAAGTCTCCCCTTTGTCAGCAAAAAGCAGGACCCAGAGAGCTCTGCCAAAGGGAAGCGGAAGACCTAAGATTATCCTGCTGGAGTGTGAGTGATGGGTTAGCTGACAAAGACAGAAAGAAGCACTGTGCTTGGCAAGCGATGTCTACAAAAGGCCAGTCTTTTCTCACAAATCTGAGTGGCAACAGAAGCAACAAGAGAGGGCACAGGCAGGAGGAGAAGGGCTGAGGGAGGGGACGTGGAGGCTGGCATCAGTAGTCATGGCGTCGGCACGGCTGGCTGTTTTCAGAAGCAGTGACAGATACAATCCGCTGAAAACAGCAGAGAGACAAATTACTCGAGACAGAAGACAGAACAGCTTTGCTGCCGTGGGGGACAACCAGCCACCTGTCTCTTGTTTGCGTAGCTCTTTGGGATCTGGGCGGGGCGGAATAAGAGCAGGCAGCTGTCTCTGTGCAGTGGCCCCTGAGCCATCAGTGTGCCCGGCGGGGCGGGCTGCCGGTACTGATGGACTGTCATCAGACACGGAGTCCCAGTGACGCATTAAAGCCGCTGCTGCGCTGCTTCCACCTGCGTCCGCCGCACAGCCCATGACGGATCTCCACAGCCGCATCCTGCAGAGGCAGCAGGGGGAGGGAGAACTGGGGGGCTCGCACCCTCTGCCACCCTCTGATAAGGATAAACGATGCTTTCTCAAGCTCCGTTTCCCTCACGCATCCAGACTGCTGACCTTACATCTCTCCCATATAGAAAACCTGGGGTTCCCCTACAGTCACCATATGACTTTTCACAAACTGTCCATTGAGTTCTGTTTAAAGATGCCAGGAAAGTGTCTGCAATGTTTTACAAAAGAGATTTCCATTGAGAAAAAGTTAAAGTTTTATGGCTTGGGACTAAAATTGTGGGTCCACTAAGTAGAGGGAAATCTCAGCTGTCCAGCTCATTTCCTGAAGACATGTGTGGTTTTATTTTACACAGCTCTGGGAGATTCAAACAACAATCTGAGTTCTGCTATAATAAAAAGAGTTCTGGGTTTCTGAAGGGCTATAGTGACAATCTTTTAGCAATGCCAGAGCAGGCGATGGAAACAGAAACATCCATCGGTCCTCAGGACTAACTGGAGCAAGACCAGAGTGCACTAACCACATCCTCTTCCCTCCCAGCTCTGCCCATTCCTGCAGGCGAGAATGGAGGCCGCCATTAACACACACCTCCCACAGTCTGGGCTACTCCAATGCAGCTCTTCCGTGAGGCGCTCTGTGACCCTTTCAGCTGGAAGGAACTCTGCCCTCCTCACAGCTTCTACGACAGTGGCCACCTTTTGGTAGCTCACTCTCTCCCTGGGTTGGAGTCACCTGTGGCTGTGACTTATCTCACCCACTGAACTGTAAGCTCCGTGAGGGCAGGGCTCATCCTGAGTGACCTCCATGTCCCTCTTCCCCCACTCCCTGCCCAGTACTCAGCTCCTAGCAGGTACAAAGTAGGTGGTGGCTGACTGATGAAGGGATAAGGGTGGGTCAGGCCCTCTCTGCACTGTACTCCCACCAGCCAGAGGCAGTAGAATGTGTGGTCCAGATTCTGGGCTCTGAAGCCAGGTTACCAGGACTGGAACTCTGGATCCTCAGACCACTTCTTAATAACATGATGCCATGGCTTCCTCATGTCTAGAATGTGATAATACTAATAATGACCTTGTAGAGCTGTTGTGAGCAACAGAGGAGTTGACTCCTGTAACACAATTCATATAGTGCTGCCTCAAAGAAAGTGTCCCCAAATGTTAGCTGTTGCTATTATGAAAGCCAGGGCTTGGTTGCCAAGGATGCTCATTTTGTGTTGCTGGCTGGGCAACTCCAGATTCATATCTCACAGGATTTCTTGATTTTAATTCACATAAAAAATGGTGACTCTAGAAGAATTTCTCATTCAGACCTAAACTGCCTATCTTGCATGAAAATGCTTATGGAGTAGAACCACTCCCCAGATTGTTACAGCTAAATGCATAAGATTGACATCCACATGGTAAAACTTGCAAGGAACTTTTGGAGTAAAAATCAGTATCTTTAATACTGTCCGCACTTCCTCCCCCACATTTTAGGAATTACTACATATGTCGCCATGAAACACAGTCCAGTGGCCCTTTAGGGAATTCAAGAGCAAATAATCCGATCACACACATTAGGAGACCAGAGCCTGGAAACAGATGAGCTAAAGAAAGCCATCGAGGTAAAACCTGCTGTCACTCAGCACTCTGTGAATTACACATGACACAGGCTACTGTGGGTGCCTCCCGGGAAGCCCAGAGCCTTCCTATTACCTTCAGTGTCCATCTGAAGGCTCCACGAGGCTGAGGTCAGCGGGGTGCCTCAGGGGCTTGAGTTCATTCCAAGATGAACCTGAGAGGGTCTTCCAGTTAGACCCGCCACCAGGAGACAGTAAACAGCAACCCTGGAGGGAGTGTCATGATCGCCAGCCTTGGTTCCCCGTCCAAACCACAGGCACAGGCTCTCTGAACATCAGAGCCCTAGGCACTTTTCTCTCCAAAGTCCTGGTTCAGATCACCTTCAAGACACGCAATTTTCTTTATCCAGGAACCTGCCATGCTCTCCTTGATAAAACTGTGCTGTTGCTCTCATCAGGAACATTCAGAAACCTGGCCCTGATGGAGCACCAGTGGAGTCCGGCCAGCAGACTTCATCATGGGCACAGCCCTCACCAGTCCTTCTGGCCTGGACCCTGTCGTCCCAGCTCAGCCTCCTGCCTCCTCAGTTCCACCGGCCCCCTGAGCGACAGCTGGGCAATCACAAAGGCAGCGGAGAGGGTTTATGTTCCAGCCGCTTCACTGCCCTGGTTTAGAAGGAAGAAGCAGGTGTGGCTCTAAGTGGGTAGCGGTGGAGGGGCCTTAGAGGAGGAAGCTAGAGTTGGGATCTCTTCATTCTGGAGAGAACTGTAAGGCTTCCCTGGGGAAATGCTGCTCTCTGTCCTGCCGCCTGGTATGCGGCACCATCCTTCTGGGCCCAGGTCTGGGGACGGGGGCACATATTAAGGATGGCGACTCTGCTGCTCAGGGCTCAGTGCTGCCGGACTCGCTGCAGTCCTGCCTGGGCCTCACGCCCCAGTCAGCAGCTGCTTTCCTGCATGTTTCTGCCACAAACTGGGTCCTGGCCCTGCTCGAAACTTCCCTGCCACTGAGTTCCAGCCCCAAATCTTACTGAAGACTGTGTCCTCTTAACTCTTCATTTTGAAATTCTTCCTTGGTTCTCCTACTGGAATCCCATTCTTTTAGAATTGGGGCCTTCTCTTGTTCTGCAGGGACTAGAGCCTGTTTCAAACCTGCTGGGCATTTCTGCTGCTTATTGGGCCGTTCACCAACCACCAACCCCAGCCCCCAACCCGAGGCTGTGTCCACGCTCTGCTGCCCACTACTGACGCTTCCTGATGCTCACTGCCCAACCCAAACAGAGAGCCTGTGGTCAGACCTTACTTCTCCCTCCACCCCAATCCCAGGCCAACACTGTACACCACCCACCCTCCACCCACTGGGAGCTACCCTGAGGTTGACTGGCCACATGTGTGGACCTCTGCTGACTGCCTACTTCTGGGCTGGGCTCTTCCCATCTATCCAGCCTGCTCTCACATGCTGTCACCCTGCTCCAGGGGGCAGTGGATGGGTATCAGATGTCTTGAGGAGGACCAGTCCTCCTGCCAATAGGGCCCCAGACTCATAATCAGTTGATTCCAGTGTGATAACAAAAGTCTGTACAGCTGTCCAATTGCACAGATTGCTTCAGAAGTTAGGACAAATCTTGCTTATTTCCTGGAAACTATGGATTCCATTCTCGTTTCATTTCAAAAATGCTGCTGCGTCTGTATGGTCACCTGGCCCTCATCTGAAATTTCAATCCCATCCCCAGTATCCCCGTCCCCTTTGCCTTATTTTTCTCTCAGCACTTCATACTAACATTCTGCACATTTACGTCTTCATCTTGCTTACTGTTTATCCTTCTGGTAGAATATAAGCCGCAGGGGTAGGGATTTATTTTTTGTGCCTGCACCTAGAGCACTTCTTGCCCAGAGGAGGCACTCAACAGTCGTAGAGAGGAAAAGGAAGCAGTGAGTGGGGAAGGAAGTGATGCCTGCCCCCTGCTGGCAGGCTGCTGGCCACTTGGGCTGTGGGCTCCTGCCCACCTGTTCAGCCTCCATCAGCCTTCTGCCCTGCAGCGCAGCCCTCACCTTCAGCTTGTGCTCATGCTCCTTGTTGACGCGTGCGAGCAGCTGGGCTTTCCGTCTGTTGAGGGCATCGATGAGGGCGTCACACTGGGCCACCAGGCAGGCCTCAAACTCCACGCTGTTCTCCTGCATGACAGAGCACACCTCTCAGCTGCAGGGCACCGGGGCGCCATGGGCTGCCAGAGAAAACAGAGCTCCCGTCCACTGGTGGATGGGAACCCCTGCTGAAGGAAATGAAGGGACTCTGTCCACGAGGCACATCTGGCTTTTCTTAAATAACTAGATAAATGTCATCAACAATGGCAGTGTTTGTTTTGCTTTTAATTTAGATCAGAAAGGATAAATATTACTTAATAAATTTATTTTTATCAAAAGGAAATCATTTCCACAGCATGAATTATATGAAGTAAAATAAAGCTCCAGTTTGTAGAGTTGAACATGAGTCCTTCGGAAGGCTGGCATAAGTCCAGCTATGTATGGTGGAGATGGCACTCACACAGGCTGGCTGCCTGAGGGACTGGGGTATTGTTGAGGCAGGAGAGATAAAGAATCATTAAATTCAGGGTAAGAAAGAAGAGGATGGCAATGGTCTTCAATATGAAACAATAATCCAATGACAACAGAAAAGTTTTAAGATAATCATGGGCAAAAGTACCTGCTCCTTTTATTAAGGAAACAAACAGTGAACACAGGCAGGCAGTTAAGAACAATCGGTGTGTGTGACAGGCCTTACCCTGCTGTAAGTCAGACACCAACTGACAGCTGGTGGCAGAAAGGTAACCACGTTCTAAATGAATGACAGCTTCCCCACGATGTTTAAACTGAATGCTGGCTCTAAATTTTTACTTGATTTAAATCTGTGTATGCCATAGACATTTCTTTTAAGCAATTCTCACACTAAATGATAAGCATTCATTCTTTTAAATAAATTACCTACGTAATTTTGATTCTCAAACCATAACCTGAAAAGCCATTGTAATTTATAGCTAATGAAAACTGAATACTCACACATACTATTAGCACTAAAAAGCAGCACCCAACTGAGTAAACTATCAACTCTGTGGGTGCTGGCATGGAAGCAATAGCTTAGCCTTTCAAGTTGTCATTTATTCCCAAAGTCACAAGGAGCTGTGTCTCTTAATATAACAATCCACTGATAGGTATTTGGTAACTGTTTGCAATGCAAGGTCTTCTCCGTATAAAGCATGCATTGGTGATTGCTTGGGCAATGACTTCTACAAACGGTAAGTTTTGGTTTTCACGGCAATGCTTTTGAGTTCTCAAAGAAGTCCCCTGGAAAACATCATTTAAGAGCTCTCGATGTCCCATGCAGGGTAAAACTTGGAGGGAGGGGGGAGCCTTCTCCTTGCAGGCTCCATTTAGGGCAGAAAGAAAGCTTTGCTCTGATGAAGATACGAGGTACAGAGGCAAGCCTGAGGCTGCACATTCTATGCCAGCAAAAGCAAAGAAGGGACTGATCGATAAACTCGGCTGCTTTAGAAAACAGAAAGAATGTACAACTGCTAGGTTGTTAGGGAATCAGAAATTTTAATGTGGACATGTGCGAAAAAAGGCAAAGACATCAGGGTGAGATTCTTTGAAAGGCTGGCTTATTATTATTATTTTTTTTGGTGAGCAAGATCGGCCCTGAGCTAACATCCATTGCCAATCTTCCTCATTTTGTTGAGGAAGATTAGCCCTGAGCTAACATCCCGCCCACCCTCCTCTACTTTATATGTGGGATGCTACCACAGCATGGCTTGACGAGCGGTGCATTGGTCCACGCCCAGGATCCAAACCTGTGAACCCTGGGCCGCCAAAGTGGAGCACACGAACTTAACAACTATGCCACCGGGCTGGCCCCAAGGCTTGCTTACTTTTAAAAAGCCATTTCTGCCTTGACATGGGTTAGATATTAACTCATAAAGCCAATTTACTGGAGGCCAGAGCTCAGGTTATTTCAGGGAAGCAAACCTCAAAACATAAGAACAGTAAATGGTGCAGAAGGTCATTATTTTAGCATCTCATGCATTGTATGGCTTCCCCCCTTCAGCTATAGTGAGAATTCACGAGCTCTCAAATGCTGGCTGATCTGTTGGTCACTGCTCCAGATAAAGCAATCTGAAATTATAGTTGCCAGGGGAATCATGGCTGAAAAATATTTAAGTATCTAAATAGAGGAGAAGCATTATTATGGGACAGGAAGGAAGGAAGGAAAGAAAGAAAGGGAGGAAAGAAGGATGAAAAAAAGAGAAAATGACCTGTTGGTTACCATTAGATAAGATACAATTACTACAAGGTGCTTTGGGAACCTATAGAGTTTAAAAATTTCAACAATAAGGACTCTGAATTCACAAAGAAATAGGTCTCTTTCCAAATACACAGTAGTAAAGAATCAGGACCTCAGTGTGGAAGACAGGAACCACGCGGAAAATCAGGTAGTGTTTCTGGCTTGTTGACAAAATGTAACCACCTCAAGAAGGGGTATATTTGAAACTGGTGTGTATGCGTGTTTGTACGTATTGGAAGAGACAGAGCAGAAAAAAATAAATAGGAATTCTTCCACAAGTAAAAATAAAAGAGAAGAAACAGATAAACTCCCCCACTACACAGTTACACTTAACCCATGGTGTTGGCCTTCTCAGGTGCTGCCGGTACCTGGATCTGCTGGACCATGTTGCGGAGCTGCACCAGAAACTCCTTGGCTTCCTTGGCTCTGTCCGACAGACCGTTCAGTGCCTGGGAGAGCTGGCTCTGCAAAGACAAAGAAGGAAACCATGGAGCTGTAATCACATAAGTAGCAACAACCTACACAGGGTTGTTTTGATCCAAGATCCAGAGTCCTGAACCTCAGATTCCTCTTGTTAGAGCTTGGGCCATCTAGCCGACATCTATGCATGAGGAGTCTGGTAACAAGGGCATCCAGACTCCTTCCACAGGCTCCTCAGGAGTCTCTCCTCTGAAGCAGTGAACACTTCTGGCCATTGCAGTCAAAGTTCCTCACCAGCTGATATCTGCCTGGAATTTCCTCATCTCATTAAGTAATTAATTAATTACTTAATTAGCAATAACTTATTTAATTTAAAAACAAAAAAACAGGGAGTCAGATAATCTAATAATTATCAATGTTATTTAGCCCAAAGGGCTATTGGTCTGGTATTGGGGCAGAAAGAACAAAGAAAGTGAAGAACAGATACTCCATGCCCATGGACTGGAAGAATCAATATTGTTAGAAGGTCCATACCACCCAAAGCAATCTACAGATTCAACGCAATCCTTATCAAAATTCCAAAGGCATTTTTCAAAGAAATAGAACAAATAATCCTAAAATTTGTATGGAATCACAAAAACCCCTGAATAGCCAAAACAATCTTGAGAAAGGAGAACAAAGCTGGAGGCATCATGCTCTCTGATTTCAAACTATATTACAAAGCTTTTGTAATCAAAACAATATGGTACTGGCATAAAAACAGACACACAGATAAATGGAACAGAACAGAGAGCCCAGAAATAAACCCATGCATACATAGTCAGTTAATTTACAATGAAGGAGCCAAGAAGATACAATGGGGAAAGGACAGTCTCCTTAATAAATAGTGTTGGGAAAACTGGACAGCCACACACAAAAGAATGAAACTGGACCATTATCTCACACCACACACAAAAACTAACTCAAAATGGATTAAAGACTTGAATGTAAGACCTGAAACCACAAAACTCCTAGAAGAAAACCTAGATGGTAAGCTCCTGGACATTGGTCTTGGTGATGATTTTTTCAATTTAACACCAAAAGCAAAAGCAACAAAAGCAAAAATAAACAAGTAGGACTACATCAAACTAAAAAGCTTCTGCTCAGCAAACGAAACTATCAACAAAATGAAAAGGCAACCTACCAAATGGAAAAAAATATTGCAAATCATATATCTGATAAGTGGCTAATATCCCCAACATATAAAGAACTCATACAACTCAACAGCAAAACAACAATCAGATTAAAAAATGGGCAGAAGATCTGAATAGACATTTTTCCAAAGAAGACATACAGATGGCCATGTACACACAGGTACATGAAAAGATGCTCAATATCACTAATCATCAGGGAAATGCAAATCAAAACCACAATGAGTATCATCTCACCTATTAGAATGGCTATTATCAAAAAGATAAGAAATAACAAGTGTTGGTGTGGATGTGGAGAAAAGGGAACCTTTGTGCACTATGGTTGAGAATATAAATTGTTCAGCCACTTTAGAAAACAGTAACAAGTTTCCTCCAAAAATTAAAAATGAACTCCACTTCTGGGTATTTATCCAAAGAAAATGAAAACACTAACTCAAAAGATATCTACACCCCTGTGTTCATTGCAGCATTATTTACAAAAGCCAAGACATGGAAAAAAACCTAAGTGCCCAGTGACGAATGAATGGATAAAGAAGATGTGGTATATATATACAATGGACTGATGAGACCTACGTGGAAGTCGGCTGGAGGCTGGAGGGTCTGAGAAAACTTCTGCTTTTCTGCTAACCTGGAAACAGTGTGGCTGGTGCAGTCTCTTCCCTTTTGTCCTGACTTCATGGCAGATGTCTTGTGACTCTCATGAGGAGAAGGTCAACGTGGTCAGGGAGGAGGGATGGAAGGAGGAAGAAGAGCCTGGGTTCCAAAGGCATCTTTGAGCTGCTGAACCAACACTTGAATCTCCTACCACTATGCTTCTTGCTATGCGGGGAAAATTAATTCCTGGTCAAGTCCCTGTACTAGAGTTTTCCATTACTTACAGCCATTACCATTGTAGCTGATACAAAATTCCTTCTTCTAGCAGCCTGAGCATATCCTTCCATCTCTCCTGTAAATTACAGAGACAAATTTCCTTTCCCACAACGCCTCTTTGGAAACTAAAGCCCACTCTCCTCCTTGCCAACACAATGTGTCGTCCTCTCTGTCCTTTCAGTAAAAGGACAGAATCTTGAAATTTTATCTCTTGGTCCGATGAATGTTTTTCTCTTATATTTGCCTTATTAAATAAAAAGTTGGGCACTGAATCTCTTTAAAAATACATATGCCAAATACTTGATGGAAGCAATGTGGGTGGTAGAAATGACACAGGCTTTGGAAGGGTTCAAATTCTGGCTCTGTTCCTTCCTAAGTGTGACCTTGAGAAAGCCACTGGCCTGCATTACTCCAGTGGAAAAAAATGGGAATAATAATAACGCTTTGTAGTTGGGTTACTGTGAGGGGTCAGTGCATTCATCAGTGCGAATGCTCCTGCTAGTTAAGGGTCATGGTTAAGGGAACTATTCTGAATCCAAAGATGCTGTCAGTTACTGGCTGCTCAACCTTTCACACCTAGTTTACCTCATCTGTAAAATGAGAAGACTACTACTACTCTTGGGAGGGCATTGCAGGAGATGCAACATCTAAAGCCCAGAACCTGCTGGCACATGGTGCATGCTGAATAAATGTCGGCTGTTACTAACTCTTAGTCGTCTTCCTCCCGCCTGTTCACAGACACCTGCTGCCTGACTGGGGGATTCGCAGGCCGGATTTCTGGAACAGGACCTGCTGGGGAATATCCTTCATCACTTGTCCTCAGACTCCAGGAGGCTAGACCAACTCAGCTGAGGAAGAGAAAGCACAGCGAGAGCCTGCAGTTGCTAGGCACCAGCTGCACTAGAAATTGGGGTGGAAGTATTCTCCTCAAGAACGTCTTCCAGGAGCCCAGGGGATGAAGGAGGTAAAGAGGGTCTCATTTGGAAGAGCAGACAATAAAATGAGAGACGTTCTGAAGGAGAAATTTTTGTTGTTACTTTAGAACTGATTTCCCTCCCTTTTCTGAATGAGTAAAAGTCTGCTGGGCTAGCACAGTTTTCTTCCCCTTTTAATTTAACCTGTGCCTTAATAACTACATTTGGAGGTCAGAGTACAGAAGCCAAATCCATTCAGGGACACAGAACTGAAGCTGCCTGATTTCTTGTATTCCAGCCTTGCAATCAATTGTCTGGATAATGGAAGTCAGAACAGACACCTATAAAGGATGCTGACCAGGTGCCATCAGATACTTAGAAAAAATGATCCCATAGTAGACAAAGGGTGCTGGCCGCATCCACTCCAGGGATTTTATATGGCAAAGTTGCAAGTGAGCTGCAAAAATCAGTGTATTTGCAGACTTCCTCCCTTTGTGTCCATCTTCAGTCCTAAGAAAGCCTTCGACCTGACTAATGACTGTTCTGGTATTTGAAAAACTGCGTTATGGGATAAAGATCTAGAAACCTTTCTCTGAAGGTTTGCCAACTTGTAGAAATGGAGCAGGAGACAATGAAAAATTCTGGAAACTATTTATCACCAGAAAATGCTCTTATTTAAGGATTTACATGTGCACTGCTTTTATAGGATAGTTTCTGGATCACATTCATAAGCTACATCTGATGTAGAAGAACGTTATTATTGACTGATTTTGTTTCCCAGAAGTATTTAAATTCCTGCTCTGTGCTAAGAGAGATGTTCTGTATTCAGGACCACGGAGCAGCCCTGTCAATTTATACCAGAACACTGGAGATGCAAACACTTAGCGTGTGTTTCTGTTACGGCATCTTTGGCTGTACATGCAGCTGTTAGAAGCTGTTGATGACGCCTAAGCAATGACATTCAGATTTCTTGGATATTTGTTTTCCAATTTACTGAAAAGGTGTCAGGAGCAAAAAGTGCCTTAGGGTGGGAAAATGATGTAGCCGACAAAGCACTGACAAATCTCCAGCCAAGAGCCCAGAGCACGCTCTGAGGAACCAAGACCTCCCAGGAAGACGGAGGGGAACAAAGAACTCTGCCTCCTCCTTCCTTCCGCTCCTGCTTTTCCCCCTTCAGCTTCCACCTGACTCTGGCTCCCCTTGCCTCCTGGGAGCACACACTACAAGAGGTGGGGGCTCGATCTGGGAGCACCCGTGGAGCACCCATGTTCCAGAATCTATTACTATTTAGGCTCAGCAGATGGGTAACAGAATTCAATCCATCCTGACCATTACTTGCCCGTGCATCTGCCCACTACCGAGCATGCCCACACAGAAGACTGTCTCCTTTCCTTTCCCTGCCATGAACATGATTCATCTGTCATTTTCCCCCTCAATATTCTCAAAGATTAGATGGAGACAAATTGGGACAAATGAAAGGAAGCTTCCTGGCATCTGGGATCTGAAGTTACGGGCACAGGATGGGTCAAAAGTGTCAACCAGAGAAACGGTACAAAATCGACGAGGCAGCAAATAAGCAAGGGCAGTGTGATGGCCCAGAAGATGGCCCTGGGCCTTCCAGACAGCTCCGTCACTCTGCAGGCTGCTCAATGATGGGCCTCCCCAGGCAGCTCTATCATACTGCCAGTAGCCAGGACTGCCGCCCAAGCCACCTCCTTCCCAGGCACCAAGGTCAACACAAAACACAGGGCAAGGTGACCATCGATGCAATGTAATTCTGAAGGAAGGCCACTCGCTCCCCTCTCCCAGGAGAATAACATTTTTTTTTTTTTTTTTTTTTTTTTTAAAGATTTTATTTATTCAGTTTTTCCCCCCAAAGCCCCAGTAGATAGTTGTATGTCATAGGTTCACATCCTTCTAGTTGCTGTATGTGGGACTCGGCCTCACGTTGGACGGAGAAGTGGTGCCTCGGGGCGCGCCCAGGATCCGAACCCGGGCCGCCAGCATCAGAGCACGCGCACTTAACCGCTAAGCCACGGAGCCGGCCCTACAATATTTCTTGAAGAAATACTGATTTTTATAGACATTATATAATTATATATTTATATAATTAGAAAGTAAAAACAAGAAATTCTAATGCATAGTTACAATATATTGGTCATTTCTTAGTAGCCAGGAATCTGATGGGTGCTTTCAATGTGTACCCCATTTAATCCCAGTCACCAGCCTGCCATTTTGCAGAGGCTCACACAGGATACACCTGAGATAGGGCTTACCACCCACACATGGAAGAGCTGGAACACAAAGCCACAAACCCTAGTCTGATTCTAAGGTCATGCCCTTTGCTTCAGCCTCCCACAGAAGAGAAATCTTCCCTCACCCACACAGGAAGGAACAAAACAACTGTGGTAAAAGGATGTTAGTCCAGAGAAGCTGAGCTGACGAGGATTATGAGGGGACCTGATTATGCTTGATAGTCAGACAATATGGAAACCCTAGCATGACTGGTTAACCTATGACATGTTCAACTTCTTTTTTCCTGCATAAAATTTTTGGTGAATTTGAAATGGATCCCCATCAGAAAGGGGTCTCACGGGAGAGGCCAGAAGCTTTGGACTGGGGTCCAATGCTGGCTTTATCACCTCCTGACCTGAAACCTTGGGTAGGGACTGGTGTGAGTGTTGAATGAGGTAAAAGAATGAGAATTCACTGAGTGGCTAGTACTAGGGGAGCTTTCAAGCTGAGCTTCCCAAGGGGCCTGATTCTCCTTCCAGCTAAAATTTCCATTCTTCTCGCCTGTCCATTTCCTGCCCCCATGAAGGGGTCTCCCCTCTGGTTTCTCTGGTGGTAGAAGATCCTGGATCCACCCCAGCCCAGCTCACTGTCGCTGGATGGGTAGGAAGCCTGAGAGGCTGGCCTGCCTGGAGATGCCAGCCTGTCTCCAAGCCCAGCAGCAGGGCTGGGGCAGTGAACAGGTTGTGACCTGCAAACTGAGTAACTGTGCCTGGGAACTGAAGTACACAGTCTAGGGGCGACTGTGTGTGTGTGTGTGTGTGTGAGTGTGTGTGTATGCATGTGAGAGTGTGTGATTGTGGGTGTATGTATGTGTGTGAGCGTGAATGTGAGTCCAGAGTACGTAAGTATTTGACACCGTGTGAGTGTGTGTGTATGCATCTGAGAGTGTATGTGTGACTGTGGGTGTATGTATGTGTGTGAGTGTGAATGTGAGTCCAGAATATGTAAGTAAGTGAAAGCGTGTGAGTGTGTGTGTATGCATGTGAGAGTGTACGTGTGATTGTGGGTGTATGTATGTGTGTGAGTGTGAATGTGAGTCCACAGTATGTATGTGAGAGCGTGTGAGTGTGTGTGTATGCATGTGACAGTGTGTGTGTGACTGTGGGTATGTGTGTGAATGTGAGTCTAGAGTACGTAAGTATGTGAGAGCGTGTGAGTGTGTATGCATGTGAGAGTGTGTGATTGTGGGTGTATGTATGTGTGTGAGTGTGAATGTGAGTCTAGAATACATAAGTACGTGAGAGCGTGTGAGTCTGTGTGTATGCATGTGACAGTGTGTGTGTGACTGTGGGTATGTGTGTGAATGTGAGTCTAGAGTACGTAAGTACGTGAGAGCGTGTGAGTGTGTGTATGCATGTGAGAGTGTGTGATTGTGCGTGTATGTATGTGTGTGAGTGTGAATGTGAGTCTAGAGTACGTAAGTATGTGAGAGTGTGTGAGTGTGTGTGTATGAGACATCTCGTCAGTGGAGTGGGGAGGCTCTTGGCTTTGGATAAGGCTGGTATCAGAGGGGTCTTACGGGTGGGGACTTAGTCCACTAAACTGCTGCTTACTGCTCATTGCTCGTGACAGAGATTCTCTCCTTGACCCAACTCGAGCCAGGCTCCTCTAAGCCCTCATCTAGGCCTCAACCTTGGCCTATAAAGACTTGAAGGAAACACTAACCTAGTTTTAACAGCTCAAGGCCGCATCCCCAGGATGACCGCAGCCCCCTATCAGCTGTCTGTCTGAGGAAACTCGAGGCTGCCAAAAGAACCTACTGTCGGCTCCAGCCAACAACTGAAGCCAGGGCTCTCGTCTTCCAGTCTCTG